GATTTTGATAATCACAATTAAGCTCACTATTCATCTCCAAACAAAACACTAGTAGCAAGTTCATACATGAAACCCTTAGCTTTCAAAAGCAAGCAATTTAGTCCCAACCGCTTTCTCCCCTTTCCTGCAAATATGCCCACGTTAAACAATTCAATATAAAAAAACGGTGCAAGGAACATGGTCAGCAGAGGGGTTGAAGCAACGTTTACTTTCCCCATTCAAAGTGCTCCAGAAGGATCGTGGTATAGTGTGAGATCTTGCCTAATCTTTGCGCTCATAAACTATGCCCTTTTGCATCTGTTTTAAGTGTACTGCATTGATGAGATGGATCTGAACAGCGATTGACGTTTGGAGTTCGAAAAACGAACAATTTGCACTAGAAAAGAGACCTTAGTCTCTTATTACGTACGCACCACATAAGCACACGCATAAATATGAAGCCTTGGGGGTGACCAACATCATATGCACCTGGTTAGTTATAAAACTCAAAGACTCGTTCTATCAAGCAAGTCAGCCAGCATCCAAAATAAGAACAACCGTTCTTATAAATAGATCACGTTTACAACTTTCCAAGTGTTGAGGGTTGAAGTAAAGCAACTATTCCCGCATATAAAATGCTATATACGTTGGCAGCTGACATAAATCGGTTGCAGGTTCAGTTTTTTTCTGATATGAATCGCAAGCTAAAAAAAGAACGGCGAAAACCCGACATACAGTCACAAAATGAACTTTAAGCATATCTGATCCCGGAACCTCACCTAACCATTGCATAAAAGAAATGACAGGATAGATCGTTAACATTCGTTGCAGAGCTTACTTTACGACCCAAAGACAATAAAAAAGAGTGCCTTTGCAAAAATAGCTTACCCTCTGGAGATTTATCAACTCTACGATAAGGATTGTCCTCAGCTTCTTTGTGTGAAGAATGTCTGCCTCTGCACTCATTCTATCAATAACAATGATAGCGATTCAAATCTGCCTCTACCACAGCAGTAGCTGGTCCACTCTAATCGCTACCTCGAGCAATTAGGGTTATTTCACGTCCGCTGCCGTTAGTTCGAGCACAGCTTGTAATGGTGCATTTGCTTTCATCCCGCCGCACCACTCTGGACTCTTGTCCATGCAGTAAGTTACTACCTCATCCACGGCAAGCACAAAGATGCCTGAAGATTGAGGTAATTCTTACTCAATCCTCGTTTTTTCTCTATGATACCAACAATGGCAATAATATGCAACTATGCTTTTCACTAAATTTTACCTTCACAAACCCATAACTCCAAAGGAGCTTCACCGCCAAATACCAAAGGTATATCCCAGTGGTACTTGAAGCAAGAGGTAGTCAGAGGAAACTACCACAGTTATAATAACGATGCTGCGAGGTGCTCGCTTAACACGACTACAGAGCATTTTCCAGAAAATATTTGATTTACATGCAACGAACTTATGCATGATTAGAAGATAGTGCATATTTTGAATGAGGTTGGTTGACTCGAATGGATTAAGGTTAATCAGAAACGCCCTGGATACTTAGACATTAATCTGACGGGGTTCAACCATTGAGGGATGATCAGCTAAACTCATCCCTAATTTTGTACTTTTATCCCTAAGATAACTAATGCGAGGGCAAATCACTCACAAGATCGACAATTCACAAACACAAGGAGCAAGAGGATCTGTACTTTTAACGCTTACTGCCAGCAAAAAGCCAAATAGACAGAGATGCAGTCTTGAGACACATTTGTCAAAAGTTATAGGAAAAGGAAATATGAGCTGCCTGCTAAAGGGTTTTAGTGGCCCATCCAAATTCCATTCACATGATTCGTTAATAATTGCAGACAAAAAAGAAGCCAAATCGAGACGACGGAAAACGACATTGATATAAATAAAATATAAAGCAAAAAACGCCTCGCAGTCTTCAAAAGAAATAGCTTGGAACCGCAAAACCCATCATGGTTTAATCTGATCAAAGTGAGGTCAACCATGACTCCTCAAATCACAGAGATCAAATGAAAATGCCCTATTATCATTAAGTCGGAAATATTCCTATGTTATTCAGCTCTAGTCGACAAAAAGGAACCCTTAGTGAAGCTATTTCTCGGTGATGGGGAATTCGAAGTAAAAGTAGATAAGGTAAAAGTAAAGTAGACAGTCGATTGTTGAAAAAAGTGGAAAAGTTGCGTCCTCTAAATCTGTTCTGAGAGAATGAACATTGGACAAAGCTCTGTAGCATCAACTTGGGGGAAAGTTAACCTGGATTTTGAGGTAATACAGAAAAGAAAGTTGCGGAATCCATAGAAATGAAGCTGCATTGTGCAGCTAAGACAACTCTCGCTGCTTGAAAACTTCAATTACAAAGGAAAGAAGAATGAGAATGAATACCTGATAAAGGGAATTTTAAAGAACAAAAGCAGTGTATGGCAGAGTGAGTGGTAGATGAAGAAGAGAAAAAGCAGTGCTAGGTAAGCCTCATCAAAGTGTTAGAAAATTAAACAACTAAATCTTTCCCAAAAAACTATAATACTTTAACCTTCTCAAACCATTGCACGGCACTTCGACGCTATTTAGTCTA